GGGAGGGAGGGAGGGAGGGAGGGAGGGAGGGAAGGAAGGAAGGAAGGGAGGAAGGAAGGAAGGAGGGGAGGGAGGGAAGGAAGGAAGGAAGGAAAAATATAAAAGAAGTATAAAAGGGAGGGAGGGAGAGAGGAAGGAAGGAAAGAAAAATATGAAGAAAGAAGGAAGGAGGGAATGAAAGAAAGAAAAATATAAAAGAAGGAAGGAAGGAAGGAAAAATATAAAAGAAGTATAAAAGGGAGGGAGGGAGGGAGAGAGGAAGGAAGGAAAGAAAAATATGAAGAAGGAAGGAAGGAGGGAATGAAAGCAATAAAGAAAAATATAAAAGAAGGAAGGAAGGAAGGAAAAATCTAAAAGAAGGATGGAAGGAAAATATAAAAGAAGGATAGAAAAGAAAGAGGGAAGAAAGAGAGGGAGGGGGAGAGGAAGGAAGGAAAGAAAAATATAAAAGATAGAAGGAAAGAAACATATAAAAAAGGAAGGAAAATTATAAAGGAAGGTAGGAAGGATATAAAAGAAAGAGGGAAGGAAGGGAGGAAGGAAGAAAGGAGGAAAGAAGTCCTTGACTTACAACCATTCATTTAATGACCAAGATTATAACAGCACTGAAATAAGTGCCTGATGACAGTTTTCCACACTTAAGACCCTTGCAGTATCCCCATGATCATGTCATCAACATCTGGACACTCGGCAATTGACTCATACTTATGACGGTTGCAGTGTCCCGGGGGTCACGAGATCCCCTTTTCCTCCTTTCAGCTGATCGTCAGCTTTTTGTGACTATCGGTTCAGCCAAACCGGTTCAAACCGGTAGCAAACCGGTAGCAAACCACCACTGCATTTCAGCTTGCCGCCTACTGCAGCCCCAGTGAGTAAAACAGCTGAGACACGGCAAAACCGCTCGGCCACGCGAATCAGCCATGCAGGAAAGAGCGGGGGTGGGTGGGTGGGGCCAAGTGATCACTGGAATTACCGGTTCTCCCAAACCGGTCAGCACTGGTAGAATCCCACCCCTGCCGGCACCCACCAGTCCATCCCATGGCCCAACCAAATCTTCGTCCCAACGGGAGACATCCCTCCAGAAAAAACCCTTCCAGGTGCAGAGCAACTTGTCCTTGACTCTCTAAGAAAGGAATGTTGTTGAGTCTCATCTCCTACCCCGGTATGAAATCCCCCCTGCCTAATTCCCAGGCACCGAATGTGGCAACCTGGAAACTTCCAAGTACAAAATGGCTTCCAAGGCTGACAGAGCTGAGTGGTCCCCTCCCACAACCGGGGAAAAGCCTTACCTGGACACCAGGGGTTGAAGAGCAGGACAAACTCGCCCAGGTTGAAGCTGGAGCCCTGATACTGGGTGGAGGCGTCCAGGACCAGGCGGTATCGGCCGATGCGGGCGTCCGGAGGGGAGGAGATGGAGACAGAGAGGGACAGCCCATCCTGCTGTTCTACAGCCGAACTCCAGGACGATCCCTCCAGGGAGCAAGAGAGAGGGAAAGGGGAGCGGGTCCCCGAGGTCTCGATGGGGCAAGGCCCTATGGAAGGGAGGGAGGGAGGGAGGGAGGAAGGGAAGGAGGTAAGAAGGGAGGGAGGAAGGGATTGGTGGAGGGAAAGAGGGAGAGGGAGCATGGAAGGGAGGGAGAGAGGGAGCAATTGAGGGTAGAAGGGAGGGAGGGATTGATAGAGAGAAAGAGGAAGAGAGAGGGGGAGCATGGAAGGGAGGGAGGGAGAGAAGGAGTGATTGAGGGAAAGAGGGAAGAAGGGAGGGAGAGAGGGAGGGAGGAAAGGACGAAGGAAAGGAGGAAGGGATTGAGGGAAAGAGGGAAGAAGGAAGTGATTGAAGAGGGAGGGATCGAGGGAGGAAAAAAGGCGGGAGAGAGGGAGAGATTGAGGAAAAGAGGGAAGAAGGAAGGAAAACAGGAAGAGAGAAGGGAAGGAAAGAGGAAGAGAGGGAGGGAGAATGGAAGGAAGGAAGGGAGAGAGGGAGGGATTGAGGGAAAGTGGGAAGAAGGAAGGAAGGAAGGACGAAGGGGTGA